TAGCAGCTTGATTATGTTCCTTTCAACCATATGGAAACAACATTCAGGAAAACAATCAAGTTATAGATCATCAGTGACCGACCACAGGTCACAACACCACATCAAGTTTCAACAACGCACGGCTGAAACAGGTTCAGCCAGCAACCCTTACAGCCGGTACCGTATCTGGCAACAGATGTAGCTGTACGAATAGACATCTATGCATAAACGGCATTTGTGAAAGACGCTCAGTCCCACGGGTAATTTTGACGATGGAACATAAACGTCCACGTCTCAGGTGTAGAAGGCAATAGTTGTGATGGGAAGTATGTCCGTGGACAAATGTCATGTTTCCTCTTTTAGCATGACACATGCCCAGTGGCGTACATCTTGAGGATGAATCAGATTCTGATCAGTCTGATGTAGAAGATGATTTGTGATTCATACCTTGACAACAATCAACATGTGCAAGCTTTTCTGTTTATAACAATGCATTATAAATCCAACGCATACGTTTTGCCTTCCTTGCCAATTGCTATACTTTTCAACCAAATGACCATTATTTATCAGTTCTGATTAGTGGCATTTTAAAAATCAACATGATCACTAATATTACCTAGTATTCCTTTTTTTGCTTCATGTTAAATGGGATTGTCCTCCTGAGAGGATACGTAAGTCCACAAACATTCAAAGTAAATTGAAACTCTAAGCTGTTTTTAATCGTAGAATATGTGTGTTTTTAAATGTATGGCTAGATCTGTCTACGTTGCTAACGGCTGAGGGAACGGCTACGGATGGTGTAAATCCAGCTAGGGTCCATGCAGGAAGCAAATGTACTGTAAGTCCCCATGGTCCCTAGTATGGTGATCTACCTTCAGTCGATGGCAATCTATAGCCTGTTATTATATTGTATTGTCATTTATAGTTCCAATATTTTGGGGTAGATTTAATTGCTAGTTTTAAATGGATATCCCCACATGTGACAATGTGTTAAGCCCATTTCTGGTGTCCCCGTAGTTTTACTGTTCTTCGTCAACAGGTTTCATTCAATTTCTAACTTTATTGATCTTTTACTATAATTATAAAATGTTCTCGTCACGATATGGCTGTACTATTGCCGATGTGACGATAAATCTAAACTCACTCACTCATGTTAAATGGCAAAGTTTCATTTGATAATGTGATGGATCTGATTTTGAGATGACCCCTTTTGTCCTTCACTGGTAGTGACTTCATGCACATTTGCATGTCCAGGTGCCTGTTCCGATTCGTCGCCTGACGCCCTTGACAGTTAAGATGTTATTTTGTCTTGACATCATGACAGCTTATATAGACAGCTTTTTATTTTTAAGTCATAATTAATGAAATTCAAAATTACCAATGGTAGAACAATTATGATTCATCATGCCAAATTAGAAAACGATTGTAGTTGTAGTTTTGAGTAAAGTGACCAAACACCGTCACGGAACTTTTCTGCCAGATTATACATATCAGCGTCAACATATGCCACGGGCACCTTCACAACCGGCTAACATGTTTGTGTCAAGGAGGTGAAGAGTAATGATAACAAAACACCGAGGACACAACGCACCTTTTCATGGACGTGTGTGTCTTGTGAGAGGACAATCACTATTGTCACTATATCTGCAGAAAATGTGGCAGTCATCGAACATATTCCATTCAATATCAGACACAAAAAATTAAAAATCGACAATAAAACACAGTAATCAGTGTATTTTCCACCAGGTTTGTTAATGATGCATGGTAACCTCGAATGTCCTCAATATTCATCACATGCAGTTAACAGCCTCAGTCATCAAACTCGTAAGGAAAAGGAAGATGGACAAGAACAGAAGCATCAACGAAGTTCAGCACGAGTCAAGAAGTACCTGGACGTGTCACTTATCATGATCATGCTTGCAGTTGCCACACATCCGATTCCGAGAACAGCCCAATCCACACACATTCTCTCTTCACCCTATGCTTCAGTCTCGTTTCTACAAAACAACTGTTAAACTGCAAGCGTATTTCGCGAAGGCGTTTGTAGAATATGCGAACCTTGCTGAGGCTGTTGGTACTGAGACTCCAATAGGTTAAAAATACAACAATTACAATGTGACTAGTGAAGATACGATTTGCATCTTTGAAAGATTCAAGACTTGAAAGACATGCATAATATAGTATCATCTGCATACAGTTAAGTGTGTAAAATATGCCCACCATACTTATCCTGGAAACTACCATTTGGTAGCAGTTTGCTGATAGCCTCATGATAACCCGGACAATGCTGTCAGTCTTCGGATACCTGTCAATGTTCGCTGCACATCACCGGTACCATCTGTGCACGCATTGACATTATTTTTTAAATCCTTTGACATTTTCAACAGACTGGATTATAAATATATGTTGTATTCTCTTTGCAAGATGTATGTTATTATTCCATTCTCAACTCAAAGTCACCTGTATTCTTGGTGCATCATTTAATTCAGAAGGCAGTTCAATACAAGACGTAAAACATGGAATACACAGACCTACTAATGACATTGCATGTTACTGGCTGAACATTTAAAAAGTCTTTCGTAAAAAACATGTGATTGAGTGAGTGAGTAAAAAATTTAATAGTCACATTGGCAATATGTCAGCCATTTCGTGACCGAAATAAGAATAAGAATACTTAATTTTAAAGTATAATATCTGTCCGTAACGACCCAATCAATGTGATCCTCATCCTTTTCAAAAGTATTATTTTTAATCGTAAAACATCAGGAAATATGCCAACATTTCAGTTTATGTTGAAAAGGCTTACTCAATATTACAATTTAAGCAAATATACACCTGGGTTATGCTCCAGAATCGACGTTTTTTATAAATTCTGGTCGGCATGTCACAACCTGTTCAAAGACTGATTTATTTTGTACTACCATTGCTTCATGCTCTGTATAACCTCTATAAAGAGGTAGCCCTCTACTTTGCATATTGGAGCCCATGTGCAACTGTAAAAATGGTATGAAAAATTTAAAAAATATAAAATAATAATATCTGTCGACAAAGGACAGTAAAACGACTTAAATATAACAATATTTAATCTATTATTAAAATTATATACCTATCCAGGACAAAACAATATAAAAACAGGCTATAGATCGCCAACAACTAAAGGTAGATCACCATACTAGGGACCATGGGGTCTTACAGTACCATTGCTAAGTGCATGAACCCAAGCTGGATTTACATCTTCCCTTCAGCCACTGGCTATTGTAGTCAAATTTAGCAAAACATTAAAAGAACACATATTCCGCAATTCAAATACGTAGTATGAAAATATGCTTTGAGTGAGATTGGACTTATATACATATATGATTTAAGTAATCTGAACTGTTCTAGCAATCAATGTCTGGCTCATAATTGCCATGAAGCAGTTAAGATTGAACAAACGGCTTCCCAATGCAGTAGCTCATAGGGTCTGGCTCGTAATTGCCCTGAAGCCTTTACGATTGAACAAACGGCTTCCTGATGCAGTAGCTGATAGGGTTTGTGAAATACCAAGGAAGAATTGAAATGTGCAGGAAACCACGCCATGGAAAATGTTCTGTAAGCATCATGTTGAACACTTAGTGACATATAACACATCACAACAGACAACGACACTTGCGTCATTGAAAGCCAACCCATGACATACACCGAACGTTGTCTTTGAACTTTTGCGTTCACCACCAGATCATTCCAGTCACACACGGAACTTACAAATTTCTTTTCATTTCTGTCATTAGTCATTCACAGAATCATTATATTATTGATATATTTCTGAAACAAATGTCTGCTCATGATATAGTCACAATTGTACAACCGACTCTGCTCTTGGCAGAGATTTCTTATGAATGTGGAAAGGGTTTTGCCGCTTCTTTTTGCCACGTGCTGTGTTGATGCATAGTCTGTTAGGTAAGGAAATATTGTAATTGACAATCATTCATCATCTGTGAGTGTGTCAATCTAATGTGGGAAAATTCAGAATGAAACATCCTGTCACAGAGTCCAATGTTATAAAACCAATGAAGTATACAATTGTATAGAATGTACAATTTGAAATTCCTCAGGCATAATATATGACCGGTGGGCATGTTATAAATACCATCCAAATAAAGATTAGTGGAACGAGAGGTTCCCAGGACCTCTTTTCCTGTTACAAGTAGCAAACCTAGAAGGGGCGGGTTAGGGAATTTCGTCTTGCATGGATATTTTGTATACCCGTAAGTACAACTATGTAAGGGAAGATATCAGGGAGGAAACCTGTGCAACTATACAGAGCCAACATACGCCAATGTCCGAGCTTGTAAAGGAAATTTATATTGATAAGATTCCCGATGTCCCGAGGTTCAAAGTATTCAGAACTTCACTGAGTCATAGTTAAAATATGGAAACCGATGATCGTGAGCTGTTTCTGAAGCAAAGTTATGCCGCATTACGTATTCTCTGTTCCATGTTTGAACCTGAATCAGAGGCCATATTAACCACACTGGTGTATATCATAACAATTTATCATTATCAAGTACTTTTGTAGGTTGAGTACCATGCGGGATTCGACCCACAAACTCAGAGTCAGGCACCTAATCGTCAGCACACAACGTCAGATTCAACCCAACAAAAGTACTTGAATCTGTTCTTTACTAAGAAAGTGTAATCACAAATATAACATATGTTACATTTGACCGCTTTCTAAATGGCATTGTGTAAATATAGCTTTCGGCCGTGGAAGCCTTGCTATTTTACATTTATCAGAGGGGTACACAAAGTCCGCAGTCTAGACTACCAGTTGTCCGACTTCAATTTCTCTGGCTGAGCGGGTTAGGCGGCTGACTTTGTGTGCTGGCGATTAGTGCCTGACTCTGAGGGTGTGGATTCGAATCCCGCATGGGGCTCATCCAAACAGTACTAGAATCTGTACTTTACTAAGAAAGTGTAATCCCAAATGTAACATATGTGACATGTTTTATAGTCTAAATATTAATGTATACTTGTTTCAGTTGAAAAACGGACGATGTGACAAGAAATGACAACAAAGTCTCTCACTGAATAACGAACGGCTCAAGTATTAGTCGGTCCCACTATATTGCCGTAGCGTTTTCAGCTTGTCGACATCCACCACTTGATTCCGGTTTAAACTGGATCACAATGAAAACGTAGGTGAGGAGGGTACCAATGATCTGTTCAAACAATGAAGCAAAAGTTATTGATATATTGTAGGGCTACAGACAAGCCTATTTTAGCTATGTGATGGCGGTCTTTAAACATGGAAGACCCGTGAAGGTCCGGGTTAGAATTGATCTTCAGTAACCTATGCTTGTCATAAGAGGCGACTTACGGGATCGGGTGGTCAGTCTCGCTGACTGGGTTGACACATATCATCGTATCCCAACTGCGTAGATCGATGTTCATGCTGTTGATCCCTGGATTGTCTGGTCCAGACTCGATATTTACAGACCGCCGCCACATAGCTGCAATATTGCTGAGTGCGGCGTAAAACCAAATTCACTCATTCACAAACAATGGAAAGTGGGCAAGCCTATATCAGCTTTATGATAGGAGTCTTTAAACAGTAGAAAGTGGGCAAGACTTAACATTACCCGACACTGTGAATTTCGATCTCGGCACTTGAGAAATGACATGTATCAATCAAATCAGCGAGTCTGGCCGATTATCACGAAGCAACTCAATTGGAGGATAAATACGTACATAAGAGAAGCTATGTGTGGATATAATGTCATATCTTTAGTGGACAATAGAAGTGTTTTATATTACAACCTGACAAATAGCATTGTGGATAAATGCGCGTTGAGTTATATGCATTCAACATACCGTTAGGATAGTGTCCTTCGTGATGGTCATGAGTCCTAAGGGGCAGATTCCGATCTGACGTTGAGACAACTTGTTGGTGAACAGAGTGACCTTGATGTACAGATCGTAAGATAAATATTCAGCTGACAACATACAACGTAAACATTTCACCAGAATGTATCACATGTGCTTCCTTGTGGGGCAGGACCGAAGCACTTATGTTCATAATTATTTGTGTATAATTATTTTGATCCTTAGGGCGCACCATAAATTGATTTTAGATATGCACGTGCTTCGATCAAAGGCGAGCATTGTAAACCTGTTTGATAACATGAAAAATAAATAATTTGATGTCGTTATTAATATGCAAAGTATTTGGTATACGCAATGTTGCCATGTCAATGAGACCTATGGGAAGAGATGTTGTTTATCATTCATCGTCAATGACGTTATGACCTCTTCAGAATCTCAGAGATGTTGTTTAAGTCATTCATCGACTGACTGACACATTTTCGTTGTGTCAATAAAAGCTATAATAGAGTCAAGGATCTACGTGATCGACCTTAATGGACCGTCAACTATCTTAAAAGTGACCCTTTGGTGGTGGTGGTGATGGAGGATGCTATCACATACCTGCCCTTTGTGGTTTGATTTATCTGGGTCAAAGCAGGGATCACGAAGTCTGGATCAGGACTTCATCAAACGTTCATTTTGCAACAGCGAAGTGAAAGTGTTAAAATATTGAGAATGACTGACCTGTTCAGGGAGACACATTTTCGTTATCAATTAATTCAAGAAGAATAAACAGTTACAATGTTTTCTTACCAGTCCAATTACTCTATCTGGCTATAATAGAGTCATTGAGTATCTACTTCAAAATAAATGTAAATAATAAAGACCTGGGCATGGAATCATCACTATTTAGTTTTGTGGACGCATTCGTGGACGATTTCCTTTATTATCAGTTCACTTCTGATAAATTAATGGAAGAATGTAGAGATTTTAATAATGCCAATCTTATGCCATAAGAATTAGCATTATTATCACATTCATTTGGATATATTGTGAAATCTGAAAACGGTTCACATTCGTCCTAGAAAGAAGAAAGTCCAATGACAGCTTTATGAATCATGTCAATCATAGACATTTGTGATCATATGGACATTCAGGTCAAGTTTTTAGAATGTATCGTATTATGTATGTACACCTTTACAACAATATTCTAACACTGGAGTCTGACACCAGCATAGGTGAGAGCGATGAGATGAGTAATGGACGGCCCAGGGTCGGCCAGGGTCGTAAAAGACTTGTCATCGTTGATGATGTTGTACAGACAGAAACACACAGCGAGGAAGGAGCTGGCGTAGCCAACAGCCACATGTCTGGAGACGAGGGAACACACATGTTCCACCAGGTCTGTTAAGGATGCATTGTAACCTCGGATGTCTTTGACGGACCCTTCAGAAGCCCTAGACAGTCTCATTGTGCAATTATCATACTCATAAGTAAAAAGAAGGGAGATGGACAAAAACAAAAGCAATATCGAAGACATAATTAGTAGAGGCCAAAATAAATAAGTGGATGTATCACCTAGCATGTTTATTAATAATCCGGTGGCCACACCAATGGATGCCGCGAAGAACATAATGCATACACATGCTTTCTTCACCCTCTGCCTCAGTCTCTTTGCTGATACACAACTGTCAAACTTCAATCGTGCTTCGCCAAGACGTTTGTAGAATATGCGAACCTCACTGTGGATGCTGGTACTGAGACCCCAATAGGTTAAAGTTAACAAAGCCACAATGTGGTTTACGATAGTAAGACTTGCGTCGATGAAAGATTCAGCTCCCACATACAACTGAATCATCTGGATACAGTTGAGAATGTAAAACACGCCCACCATTATTGAATATATACGGGAAGCTACCGTCGAGCCGTGGAAGCATTTTTTCGGACTTCGGCTGCTGATAATCCCATGATGATCCGGACAATGCTATCAGTCTCTGGATACATGTCAGTGTGTCCTGTGCATCATCTGCTTCACTGCATGAACCAACGGCATTGTTAACAACCTTAAACATATTCCACAGACTGGATTACAAATGTGTGATGAACACTCGGACTGCACCTTCCGCTCGTACTATTCTCAACTCAATGTGACCAGTATTTGAAGTAATAGTTTACGTGACGATGCATTAGTTAACTCTGAACACAATTCAATATCAGAAACGTTCTAAAATGCTCTCAAGCGCTGAGGCGAATCCAATGTGAGTAAATATAACATCATGTGTCTGACCGTAATTACAATCACATTACAAGCCTAAAGAGTTAAAAGCTTTAAATGGAAGTCGAAATGCAAAGCTATCTGAAACGAATTGCCAATCAAGCTATGGCACATTATTCCATGAACTGATGGGTTCTTAATGCATTAACTGATAAGGTCTGTTGTAATTTCAAGCAAATATTGTCTTATTTGAAAACTACAGTTAGTCATCTCGGCCTGTGAAAATGTAAATATGAAAGCATTTTCAAAGCATGAAAACAACCTTTGAGTTTGATGTTATGGAACTGTCTGTAATATGGTTAATGGAATTCTGTTCCCCAAAAATATCGTGGTCCTGTATGTCAATTTGGAGAGTCTGGAATGTCATTACGATGCATTATAGGGTGAATTCGTTAACGGGGAGATAAATTACATTGACTATCATGAATAACATCATTTGAATTTGTCTGCAATATAAGTTATCACATCGTGTCGAGGGAAATACGGGGTTTTATCAGTCCCGAGTAAGGTTGTAAAAACCCGTATTTCCCTCGACACGATGTGATAACGCATTTATCTAGCCGAATGTTTTTACTAAATCAAAAGAAAAGAATACGCATCGAATCGACATGTTTTTATTTATGTGAGATGCCATGTTGACACCAGCTGATCGATTGGCCTCAATGCAGCGTACGTTACTAAAGGCTTGGCTTTTCTCACTTCGCGTGATCACCGAGGCGTGGCGGGATAATATGACTTTTGTACTCCCTGCTGGCGGATCGTGACGGGTGTACATGGTATTTTTTATCAGAGTCACGTGAACCAATCCAAACTCGACATTCTTTCACGAGGCTGGATAATGGTGTTTGTTGATACTTAATCTCTTAAGGTAAGGCCAAATTGTAATTGATCATAGTTCATCATATATAATGGGTGTTGTTAGAGAGGCTGTTTACTTCCTGCAGAAATGTTTCCGAGATTGTTTTACATCGTACTCAATGGAAACATACAACAGTGGTGAGCTACATACTAGACTTCTTGTTCATAGTTTCAATTGTGTTCTGAAACTCACAGAGGGATTTGAGTGATCTGTAAAATACAAAGACCAAGATCCTGAATCATCTGCCTAGACATAGCATGCAAGAGGGTAGTTAAGTCTTGCCTCTCATCTCAAATTTCGTCGCATCTTCAGTCACCAAAGTCCACGTTTTTGTCTTCTGATCACTGTCTCAGGTTCAGATGAGAAAAAGTTTTTCGATTACTAATAATTTTGAGAGTGTGGTATTTTACAATCATAAGTCTTTATTGGTCTACCATCCCTGCCCTTGTATTTTAATGACTCTGAACATAGTTACTGCCATACAATACATAGCTGAATTTATTTGTATTGGTTTGGAGACTTAGCCAATGTTGGAATAGAATTGTTAATTACATTATATTGCACATTTGGTTCTTCCACGGGCTGACTCCTGTTGACTATTATAACAGTCCACCGTGAGGCATCCTGTCACAGAGTCAATGTAAGTCAAACCAACAAAGTATAGAATTGTATAGAATGTACATTTTGTAACCCTTTGGGTATAATATACGTCTGCACATATCATAATCAGCATTATTATATCATTAAGACGGAACCAATCAACCATAGTATGATAGGGTACAACAAATTGTAACTGTAACTGATGATTGAATCAGGGTTTGTTAGTCTCGTGGGATAAGTCTAAAATGAAACAGTTTTGTTTCGTTTCTGTTCTAGAAATTGTTAGATATGCACAACATTCTTGAATATATCCTCGAAGTTACTGCCGAGCCGTTGCACCTTTTACTGGTTTCGGCTGCGGATTGTCCCATAATAGCCCGGACAACGATATCAGACTTTGGATACTTGTCAATGTCTCCTGTACAGCATCCACACTAATCGATGTTTGAAAACCTTTGACATCTTTAGCAGATTGGGTTTTGTATTCTCCGTTCAGGAAGCACATTAGTGTTCTATTCTCAGTTGATTTCAGCAGAATTTGACTTGAAAGTCTTCATGATGCACCAGTTAATTCAAGACGTAAAACATACAATGCATACGTATATTTATTTGCATGTCATTGTCAATTACTGGCTAAACGTTTGGAAAGCCTTTAATGGAAAATATAATAATGAAAGTAATCTGAATTGATCTATCGATCAAGTTGTGGCACATAATTGTTTTCCATCCAGCTAGAGTTTGTTATGCAATTGAACAAACGGGTTGTTAATGCAGTGGCTGATAAGGTTTGTTTAACTATCAAGGAATAATTGGAATCTACAGGAAATTGTTATGAGCATCATGTCGTACACTGAGTGACATTTGAAAATATTTGCAATGCATGAAAATCATAAATTTGTTAAATTCGACAAAGGATCATTAAGTGAGTGGCCGAGTTAAGGGTCTGGTCTTTCCCGTTTACAGGCAACACTGCTTGTACCACTGAAAGCCGACACACAACATAAACCTAAGCAAATAGTATCTGCACATTCATACGAAGTGTGCATCATTTCTTTCTATTTTTGGGGTTGTGAAACTTGGATTTCTGTTCATGAACTAATATTCCTCTTCTTAGTAACCAAGATATCCCAACTGAACGGAAAAATATATTTGGACACTACATTCACGTGTCAATGTTTACAAACAGTGCTATTTCTAGGACTGTCATATGTATCCACGTGACCGTGTCAATTTCTTCGTCACTTGCGAACTTGAAAAAAAAGAAAACCAGGTAAAAAGTCATTATTGTGATTTGTTTAAAACAACTTAAAAGTTGGGTATGTTATATGGTTTGTTCTTTCAAGTTTGTTTGGAAAGTTGTCACAG